AGTTTCCCCATACCTGATCTTGATTTTCACAGCGCTGTTTAAAGCGGCTTAACTGCTGATGCTAATATCTATCTTGATGATTGGCAGCTTATTCATTCGTCCTCTGCGTACTTACGTTCTGATTTTCAGCAAGTTACCAAACGAATCCACCGAAGGCGATATACTTTTAAAGGTTATTAGGAGGTTCTGGTAGACTTCACTAATTCATTTGACCCAACTGCGAAAAAAGTGGCGGCCCAGATAGAATTCGAACATACGTCCGCAAGGGGACGGCTTCGGTACAGTCAGCGCCCTAGCCAACTAAGTTATTGAGGCGCTATGATGAGCCATAAAATTAAGTACACTTGGGTCGATTTACCCGCCCAATCTTCCGCAACATATTGAAGCCACCGGTTCTGTTACAGTTCAGCTTTTTAATCTCCTGAGAAATTAATTTCTGTTCGCGGTATATATCAGTATATTAGAGGTCTATAGGCGTAGACCGTTCTGTTACAGTAGGCTGACTACCCAAGTAGGGTTTCGTATGCGATCCACTAGATGACTACCAGTGAGCCTAAACTCACGGTTCCCGATCGGGCCTCGATTGCTCAAGTGGCTAGAGCGTTGGCTGAACTAAGGCCTTTCTCTTGTTGGCGTAGGTTCGAATCCCACTGAGGCCGCCGAGGTTTTCATAAGTGGGTCAAATGAATTTTATTGGTTAACTAGACAAGTTATTAAGAAGAAGAAAATAACGTTGTAAAGGTATAAGTGAGATTACAGAGTAAAAAAAATTTGGAAGGAAAAGGTGAGTTCAGGGGTGAGCGCATCCGGTAAAGTGAAGAGGCGCGGGTACTTATCGCTCGCCCAATGTGATTTACTCAATGTAGTTGCTTCTGGGAGATAACAGTTGCACTCGAGAAATTTGCTTCTTGCCATGAGAGGATCCATTAGGCCGAAAACAGGGGCATGGTATGCTGGTACTCACTGAAGGAAGTCGGATGAGCTTTGACGAAATACTTAGCCGAACTCAACACTAAGGTTTAGTAGATTCTATTGCCAGCAAAGATAGTGGAGACTGAAATGGCCATTTCTGGCTTATAAGCCGCAGTCAGCTAGCCATACAAGACCTAAATGGTGCCCCACTCGCGTCGCGAACTCGCAGTTTGGTTGCCATGGTTTCGTGGTCGTGCCCTTTAACCGCGATATTTTCTAGGCGTTATCATATCCGAGTTTTGAAGTAGGTATCGTCAATCGTCTTTCCAGAGGTCTGTTGATACTGTAGTCTAAGTCGCTTTGTGCAACTTAACATTCGGAGTTCAGTTCATAGCCCTATACTAAAAACCAGGCAGCCAATGGCAACAAATTGCTCCAAAAAGCCTATCCTCCACGGTCCTTCGATAGTAGGATTGTAGAATAACACAAGTGGAGTACTGCAGCTGCAGATAAGCTAGCCGTCACGCGGTCACGTCCGCATCAATGAATTATTTAGCAAACTCCAATCTGCTCACCCTCGAATGCGAGACAGGACATGACTGCCGACAAAAATAATGCCCTCCTACGCTAAGCGGACTGTGTCTCGCAGGAAATAGTCCACAAATCGATAACGGAAAAGCTTTTCGCGACCATGGGAGGGTTGAGCCGGCAGCAGTAACCTCAGAAGGACTAGCACAGAGTAAGACCTGCAATTTGTCAAGACCTGTGTCCATCTGAAAAGTGAAATTACAATAACAGCAGTTCCCGTTCCTCCAACGCAATTGCGCAACATCGTTTTCATGATAGACACAGTCCTTAGTAACCATCAGCGTCGTGGATCAAGAACCGCTCTGCCCGGCTGCCATGAAGGGCATTTGATAATATTTTTTACCCAAGCGTCTAACGTATTGCTACGCTCTCCATCGGTTACTCTCCTCAAGTGTTCAGCGGTAAAGAAGCCAATAGCAGATTGCGCAACAGTATCAACACAGTGTGAAAGCGGGAACTCATCCCGTTGCGTACATGAAGGGACTTCGCAGAGGAGAGTATAGGCTTAATTATGTCATAATCACCGCATTTTTTACAGTTACCATGCATCCGCAGACCTTGCGTGGTTCCATATTCATCCTACCTCACTGTATTTATGAGAAACAGCTTTCACCTATTTCAGTATGCCCATACATTTTCGTTAACGCCTTATTAAAATTCCGTTGACAGAAAAAAGCATAGAGCAGCTAAGTATTTGAACTATTTCGGTAATA